CATAGGGCCGGACACTAAGTTTTTCTGAAATAAATGTGCGCGACGGTTTTTCGGAGCACGATACAGAAGTTAAAATGTTCTCTTTTTTTGGTTTATTCACAACGGCCATTTGGCCTGTTTATTCGAGTTTGTTTTCCTTAGCACGACGGCTATGGTTGGAGTGTGAGTGATAAGGTTTTGGCGGTTGGCAACAGCCGTATCATTTTGCCCTGTTGTTGTGACGTTTTACTGAGTTAATAGTCCTCTTAATATAGATCTCTGTCTACACCGTCACAGTACTCCACTTATTAGTTGGGCTATGCTTTGTTTAGTTCGCAGTTTTCAAATCTAAAGAAGACAGGTTGCACAGCCCCAAGGTCGCCCCAAGTAAACATTCAAGCATGTATGCCAGCAGAGGTCGTCTAGCGTACGATTGGTCAAGAGGTAGCCGACCTATAGGAGCAGGAGAATAATACGCGCTTGCAGATACTGCATATTGTGCAGTGTCCGCGTCAAAGTCAACTGCGCTGTTGCAATCCAGAGAGGCCCCAAAATCCGTACCCATCTGCATTTTCCTTATCACTACGATCGCTAACCTCAACATCCAATAACACAGCTGATATCTAACGCAATTGGCCTGACCCGAAAACTTGAATTCTTATCCACTTAAGACCGGTGGCATTGCGATAGGGGACGGGGTATACGAATGTCAAACGTGCTCTTACGCTGAACCCACCAAATTGTTGGCCTAAACTACTGTTTAACCGTCGGTTTCGACGATTTTCATCGCGTTGCCCTTTAGTTTGCGCGTGAATTAGTTTTAAGTGATAGTAGACTTGATCAGCATCTACTGCTCCCTCTTTCTTTACTCACCCACCTGTGCCTCGGTGTCAAAACAGAGTCAATAAGACCGGAGGCGGGATCGAGCGCAAGTGGCTAGCAGGGCCGGCGAATCCATCTCCGCCCTCCACAACACGACCTGGTCCCTTTGACATTATTTACACAACCAGGGCGGGGGATTAGGAGGAGCCGTCGCCGCCTTACTCCCAGTCCACTCATCAGCCACTACACACACCCAACACGCACTGGGCTGATGGTGCGTCTGGTAAATATGTTGGCTGGCCGCCTTCTCAGCCAGCAACAGTAAACAGTGATCGCATCACACATGTAAAAGGAGCTGCATTCAGAGGAAGCTGAGAAGCAGCCTTATCTACTGAGCTT